GCTCGCAATAGCCACAGGAACTTTGCTGCAAGACAGGCATATGTAACGATGACTTAGCGCTCTTAAACTCGTGTGTCATTAAATACAGTTCTCCTGACAACAGGCCAGCGAAAAATCTAACAATCTACAGCAAAACCATCAATTATTATGGGCGTTATAACATAGGTGTGCAGCTGGACGAAACATACACGTCGAACCCCCCCCCAGACGATTTAAATACCTGACGAAACATACACGTCAAACCACGCTGAACGGTTAAAGAATGGTTCATGCAGACCTTCACAGGTCTACCCAATGCAGTTCACTATCACAGTTGCTGTTACCACCTTACATTCTATCACTTCCCCCCCAGTAATGGTAACATCTGTTACGGTTCAAAACTTCAAGATCTGATATTAACTCTTTGCTCCCCATTCCAAAGCACACTGTGGGGTCAGAGGGGTATACCATGGTTCTAAGAACCTTTACCCAGTTGGTGCAGAGGTATAATAATTCTCCTTATTTTATAACAAATATGTACTTTGTTCAGGGTTTCTGACAGCACCCAGTCATCATTTAGTGCTACAATTTGTGCAAAACATTCTTAACTATGCCATCAGTTTTGATTTGAGATAAAACAGAAATCTGCCTTGATGCTGTAAACTACAGCACTTTGCATAATAATGAGATACTCTCAAAATCACTCTATACAGAGTTAAATAGCATCAGTCCCATCCTGTAAATTTGCATGGCAGTAACATTAATAGTACTGATCTTAGAAAATTAAGAAGTACAAAGGTGAGATGACTACAGTGTTCATATAAAGTTTCATGAAAATTGGTCAAGTGATTCAATTTTTATTATTTTTTTATTTTCATTTGAGGGGGGGGAAGACGCAAATTTCTAACCATTTCAATTAGTTCTTTTCTGTTTGCATTAGTCCTTTAAGTCACCAGATGGCTGAAGCAGTTTTTATTGTCTAGTAATGTCCTCCCTTCCATTTTGAAAATGCTTGAAACACAAAAGTCTTTGTTCTATTCAGTGCCCTTCTCCATAAACTTTCCATAGTGTTTCATAAATGTCATTCCCTTTCCTAATATTTCACTAAAAGTTTGAGATTCTCTGTTCTAATAATTTATCAACAATGTAAAAGATGAACAAAATGCTTCCAGCAACCACAAAACAACAATAATTCCAGCAAACAGTTGCCACAAAATTGAAGGATGCCACATAATCCAATATATATGTACTTACTATGAAACCTCAGTTCAGTTATTCATTTATCAGGCTTAATAATGTTAAACAACATTCAGAGTTAACAGTAATAACATGAACTTTGGGCACCTGAAGACAATCACCTCGTAACACCAAGAAATTATGCAACAAATTCAACATTACATAATTAATTATTCTTATTCCTCCTCTACTGAGGGTCAAGTGAAGGGACCTAAACTAAACTTAATTAAACAACTGATGAGATAGTTACCAGATGTCTATTTTCCAGAAAACTGTTGTGTTCCTTTTTGTTTACATTCTTTCTTTCTTAATAAACATGCTCACAAGTTTTAACTAAACTTAGAACACAATTCTCACCTTACAGTTGGCAAAATGTGTTAACCATCTCAGATATAAGATGATCCCCTATTAACAGCAGCAAATTATGGCAAGAAATGATCTTACTGTGGATTAAATAAAATTCTTAGGTACAGTTTTCCTTTGCAAACTTAGCTTTCTTTCAACTCTTTATGGAAGCCAATTTTTAGCCCACACATTATCTTTCAGAATGAATTTTGAATTCAGTAAACTCCCTGTTATCTGGTATCCCAGCATCTTGAATTCTCATCCAGCTGGGAAAACTTCAAAGAGAATTTACTGTTCTTGTAAGTTATTCAAAAACAAATTTGCAGATATCGTCATGTGTTAGTGACTAGATATAGTGTTTGGATTGGGAACTGGTCTGACTGGACTCTTATAAATCATACCTACAAGTAATTATACTGCTATCACTAATTCACACATTTGACTTCTCACAACAGCACTCGCTAAGTCTCCTCAGTTTGTCATCACTAGCTGTTGTTTGGTTACAGTTCCCAACAATGGAGATTCTTCTGCTCTTGCTTATGTCACTGCCAATTGGCCACCATCTCACAACTCATCCTAAACTAGCCACTCACTGAATATGACTATATCTTGGTTGGCTGCCTCATTATATAATACCAGCAAAGACTGCATAAAAAAATACTGTGTTGCCTAGAAATGGCCCAAGAGTTCCTATGTTGTGGTTTGATGATTTGCGGTTGCAGAACTGTCTTTACCCAGCCGTTGCTTAGCAATGGCTGTCTCTTTCAGTCATCATGACATAATATGTTCATCCACCATGTGTGTAGTTCTTCCAGCTGCCACTAGCAGCACTATGCATTGTCCTGCCTCACAAAGATGCCATTACAGTACAGTCAGACCAGTTGAATTTGTGACCACATTTCAATACATGTATCCAAAATCTTTCACCCATCTACGATGACTCTCATTCAAGAATTAAAATAAAAATATGATGTTTAGACTTTGTATTGGGTTATACAGGGTCCGGCAAATCGACTTCCCGTATTTCAAAAGGCAGTTACAAACAAACAAACAAAGATACAGAAAAAATACTTTTATTTGTGAACAACAAATACGATGCTATTTTACATTACTTGGTTTTAAAAATTATTTCCGATAAATGGCGTCCTCCATTGTTCACACATTGACGAAGCCTTTCCCGGAAGTTGTCCATAGTTCTTCGTGTCATTTCCGGTGGAATGGCAGCCACTGCCTGGGTGATTGCCTCCTTAAGTGCTTGCAGGGTTGTGGGGCGATGTTTGTACACTTGTGCCTTTAAGTGTCCCCAAAGAAAAAAATCACAAGGTGATAAATCTGGTGACCTCGGGAGCCATGCGATGTCTCCTCACAAAGAGAGAAGACGTCCAGAAACAACTCTCTCAGAATTGCTAAAGAACGCCGCGAAGTGTGAGCTGTGGCTCCGTCTTGTTGGAACCAGGCTTGTCCCTCTTCATGGTCCCCAACAAACTGGTTTAACTTAGGTCGGAGGAAGGTCTCGATCATGTAACAGTAGCGATTCGAAGTAACCGTTACCGTTAGCCCATTTTCCTCGAAAAAATAAGGACCCCACACACCAAATTCAGCAACGGCACACCAAACTGTCACACGAGGCCTGTGAAGTGGTCGTTGGTGAAGTTCCTGAGGGTTTTCTGCTGATCAGTAGTGGAAATTTTGTTTATTTACAGTACTTGACAAGTGGAAGTGGGCCTCATCAGATGAAATCTAAACCACCAGAGGGAATGTTCTGAAGAATGTCCTCACATGCAGCTTTGCGATTTTCAAAATCTCTCTCACTTAATTCTTGGGTAACCATCATTTTGTATGGGTGCATGTGTAGATTTCTGTGCAGGATTCTTCTTACACTCCTATCAGACAATCCCAGGGCAGCTGCATGTTTAAGTGCTGAACGCTTTGGAGATTGCTGGATGGACGCTCTCACATGTGCCACATTTTCAGGCGTTCTTACGGTCCGAGGTCGGCCAGGTGATTTCTTTTTCAGTGCAGAACCTGTTGCTCTAAAGTTTGATACCCAAACGTGAATACTTTTTCTATCCGGAACAGGATCATGTTGGCCAAGTTCGAACCGAATGCGAAATGCTCGCTGAGTAGTAATCACCGATTCACCATTACGAATATACTCTTCCACAACAAACGCACAATGCTCACCGTGCAACGCCATTGCGACTACTGCAAATGGCACTTATACCACTATCGATCGATACCCACTCCGCCACTGTATCCCCACCACAACTCACACAGCGCCCTCTCCAAATACAGGAGGTCCATTTGCCGGACCCTGTATGAGAATTTTTCTCATAAACGTGACACATTCATGTAAATGGTGCACCCCTTTCCCCATACATGCCGGATAAGGGGAGATTATTGTACTAATTTTCCTTTGTTCCTCTATGATTCTTGTCCATATAACATTAAAATGCTGTCGTTCCTGGATGGCCCACAGTTTTTAGTCCTTTCAAAATATCTGGGTCACATTACTTTAAAATTGGAGTCATAAACACTTTGTGAGAATGAAGGGATTTATGTAATAAGAGTCCCTTCTGCTTCCATGTGCATTTGCATTACTGAATGATGAAGTATTAAAATTATTACTTAACAGACAAAATTACCTATTTAGATTAAATGTATCAACTGTGATAAATATTCATTATTAACTGTCAAAAGTCATTATGAAGATCACTTTGAATTCATAAGCAAAGTAACATTTGGAAACATGCATATCCATAACCAATCTACAAGAGAACATTCCCTAACACAGTGTTACGCTCCAAACATCATTACTTTTGGTAGAGTGGAAGCAAAGACTGAAATACAAAATCAAGGCTCACTGATTATGGATCATTACAAGATGTATCTCAAAGGCAGACTGATGGCTCCAAAAATATTAAATTGGATGAGCTGTCTGAATGAACTGTGCAAGTATGGTGGTAACAGTAATAAAAATGTAGAGAGTTCTGTCTTCTTATATATAATGTTGTGTAGTCCACTGAAAACCAACCAACGTTTTGGAAGAATACATCACGTCTGTCTCAGGGTTGAAGAATAAGCAAAACAAGAAACAAGCATGCAGCAGGCAGCAAGCATTCAATGGACTACACAGCATTATACAAAAGACAGCACTCTTCATACCCACCACAGAGGAACCTAAAATCCTACAATAATAGAATTCAATTTTGGCTTCAAAAATATATCAATACTTCCAGTACAAACAAGTTTTGAGACACACTACAGTTACCAGATGCATCTTTTCCCATAAACCATAGAATCTTGTTTCTTTTGATGCAGTTTTCATTTATAAATATAAATCAGTTCCATCCCCAACTTCTAAATAGAAAATAAAGAAAAGAAAATTTTGTTTTAAAGCCCGAGAAATATGGTAACTGACTACTTAAGTACAGCATTTTCCTCAAACAACTGACAGTTATCCAACTGACCAAGAACTGTATCATCATGATTCAAATTTGTCCTGAGCCAGTAAAATCCAGTTTACACTTCGTAAGACTTGAGATTCTTCTCATGGCCATAACTTTTGGGAGGTGATGCCATTAATTTGGTAGAGAGATACCAATGTTTCAAAGGAACCTGCCACCTCAATCTTCACAGCCAAAGATCATGAAGATGGAGGCAACAGATCCTTCAGAAACACTGGTACATAAATTACAAACTATACTTATTCCAGAAAATGGTAACCTTACTTATCAGCTTCTTCTCTAAGGCTTCCAAAGACGGCTCTTCCCCTGAGCTTTATGAGCAAATCTGCTCAGTCTACCAGTCCTGCATCACTCATGTATTCACCAGAGTGCAAAAACTTGTTACTTCGTATAATACAGGGTTATTAAAAAAGAATGAACCGATTTCATGACGCATTGCTTCAGTTCTCAAGCATCATCATGGAATGAGTCAGTGACCATTTGAAAGAGGAGTTACGTAAGCTGTCAATGGCTGCCACAGGGACGCTGAAGTCGTGTTGTTCTTCCAGCAACATTCAGTTGTTCGTTTACCCTCGGAATGGCGAGTCCTCAGCAATAGGCGTTCTGCGTTCTCAAAAACAAATTCGGTTGTCATGGTGCAACGTGCTTTTCGAAGGCGATTCGGCATTAATCTGCCCTGTCCTAAGAACATTTGATGGTGGTTTCGACAGTTTCAAGAGAGTGGGTGCCTGTGTAAAGGAAAAAGTCCAGGACAACCACGAGTCTCGGAGGAACAAGTAGCGAGAATCCATGCTGCGTTTGAGATGAGCCCACGAAAGTCAACAAATCAAGCTAGCCTTGAGCTTGCGATCCTTCAGTCCACTGTCTGGCATGTGCTAACAGTACGTCTACATTTGAAACCATACAGACTGCAGCTCATTCAGGCACTTACCAATGATGACAAAAGGAAGCGGATAGAATTTTGCGATTCAATGCTGGAAGACGAAACCTTCACTTCACGTTTAATTTTTAGTGATGAAGCGACTTTTCACTTGAGCGGCACAGTCAATTGTCACAATGTGCATATTTGGGGAACAGAGCACCCACATGAAACAGGTGAGCACGAAAGAGATTCTCCTAAGGTGAATGTCTCCTGTGCTGTGTCTCAGGACAAGGTTTATGGTCCCTTTTTCTTTGAAGGAAACACCGTTACAGGACAAACCTATCTCGATATGCTCCAAACTGGCTCTTCACTTCACTGCAAGCAGATTCGCATGACTTCATTTTTCAACAAGATGGAGCACCACCCCATTGGCACCTGATGGTCCAAGCCTTTTTAAATGAAAAAGTTCCCCAGCTATGGATTGGTCGGAAGGGGGCCAGAAACCTTGCTCTTTGTGCTTGGCCTGCGAGATCCCCAGACCTCACCGTGTGTGATTTCTTCTTGTGGGGCTATGTAAAAGATCACTTTTATGTTCCACTGCTACCCACTAACCTCGATGACCTTAAACATCAAATAACAACAGCGATTAACTCAGTGCATCGTGATATGCTGATATGCACCTGGGAGGAATTCTCTTATCGCATTGGTGTTGCCTGTGCTGCAGGTGGTGGCCACATTGAACACTTGTAAGACAGGAAATAAAAGTTGATTGTGAGTAGAATACTTGTGACTTGGCTGGAGTTTTGTATTCCTTTCCTTTGATAAAATATTGCGTAATAAAATCGGCTCATTCTTTTTGAATAACCCTGTATAGCATTATGTTCATCAGCATACCTTGGGTTCCCGCATGAACAGTATCCTCCCAACTGTATCTTCATCCTGATCTTTGACCCGTACAGTAAAGGGTAGGCGATTCTCTCTGAATGCATGGAAACCAAGATTAAGCTGGTCACCTGACTTCATGACTGGGATGAGATTCCCAGCAAATTCAATGTACTGAGGCTTTCCTTCCAGTACCTGCAACATAGAAAGTTCACATTCATCAGAAAACAGGTGAGCGGCAAAGAAACAATACAAAAGACTGGTTGTGTCCTTGTCAAAAACAGAATTCTTTTCCTTGCAAATCTAGCCTCAAATATTTGTACTACTGCCTTGGTATGTTCCTACAAAACCTGAAGGCAAGTTTGTAATTTTTCACTGTGCCAAATTCATACAATCCACCTCCAATGGTCAATCACACATCATTGTCTGATTGGAAAGTACGGAAGGAGTTAAAATATTGCTACTTCTCAATACGTACACATTAAAAATGTTTCATATAAAATATGCACCATTAGAAAGCTCTTGGACTGTTATTGTTGTAACTGCCTTGGTGAAATGAGATGAGAGGGGAGGTCTAGGTCATAGTTCTGAAAGCCTATTGCATCAGCCTGCCATGTAACACTGCACTGTGAACATGTATTTTTTTTACAGAAGTGCTTAGCCACAACTGGCTTCTTCATCACAACAAGCCTGCCCACATATCCCTGAGAAGCACAGAGTTTGTGACTAACAATAGCATTGTTATCGTTTCCCATCCTCCCTACTCGCCAGACTTAGCCCGTGATTTTGCTTTGTTTCCAAACTGAAAATGAAATTGAAGGGACAACATTTTGAAAGAGTGACTGACATCCAAAGGGAATCGCAAGCGCTACTTGACAGCATTAAGGAAAATGACTTCCATGGTGCATTTGGACAGGGGAAAAAATGATGGGGTCGATCTGTATGTTCCCAAGGAGACTATTCTGAAGGAGACAGAAGCCAAAATTGAGTAATTTGAGCCAGCATTTCTTTTTTGACCTAGTCAAGGAACATTACTGTCACTCTCAACACTAAAGTTTGCAAAGCTTTGATGGTACCATCGCATATATGATTTAAAAAAAAAATATGACATCAGAATTACTTAAAACATGTCTAATAAAACTCACCCAGTTTCTTAGAAAATTAAACAGGGCATTCAAATGGCATACAAAAACAAATAAGCCATATCTTCTCTTAAGAAACTTTTTTTTTGTGGCGCTACAGCCCCAATTTGGGCCTAGGCCTACCTCCATGAAACTCTCCGTTTCACTTCGGTTTACTAGATCCTACACATTTGGTAGGACTCCTTGGGCGAGTGATCAGCTCATTGCAAGGCCTCTACCTGCAGACAAACACAGAAAAACGCACACAAACATCCATGCCGAGTGGGATTCGAACCCACGATCCCGGCTTCCGAACGAGCGAAGACAGTGCATGCCTTAGACTGCTCGGCTACCGTGACCGGCCTTAAGAAACTTAAAACCAAAAAATTCTTCCAGAAAGACTTCAATACCAGAAACAAACACAGCACTATAAAATATTACACCTATAATAATTAGTTCCTTCTTACGAACATCTTACAAAGTCACTGACAGTTTATTTCATTACAAAATTGTACAGCCTTTCTATGAAGACACTCCAGTTTTAATTGTACAAACTTAACTATATAACTGTGTAGCAAGCATCACTATATTTGGTGTATCTGAGTTCAGCAGTGTTAGGAGAATGTGCTATCCTTGGTAGCAACATCATGAAGTACCAATAATAGAGACAGCATACTCAGTAGGGAAGCATATGTTTTTGGTTGCAAGATTTTACCAGACTGCTAGTGCCTTCAGGATTTTGCATAAATTCTGTGTGAAACCTGAGTGCAGGAAAGCACCAAGCAGGTCTGCAATAAACAGAGCAGTTAATAACTTTGAAATGGCTTGGAGTGTGAGCAACAAAAAGGCGGGTATCATCAGTAACAAGTATCAGAACACCATGACTGTTCACTGCGTTTAGCAGGTGTTTTTGATGCACAGTCCCAGGAAATTTGTAACACATCTTTCTCAGAAACTCAACATGAGAGAAATATTAGCACTCTGTGGACCGAACACATAATATCATGCTTTTCGCTTTTAAACGTGGCGGACCGGTCACATGATATCAGGATTTTAAGACAGGTTAGGTTGTAACACACTATACCTTGCTCTGGCGCCACGCAACTGCAATGAATACTGCGTAATAAATCTTCGGAATGTATGCTAGGTATTCAGTAACTTGACCTGGCAGGCTAGAGTCCCTACTCCAAAAGGAAATACACTTTGCTCCTTCCAGCTCTTTATGTACCAGGCAGGAAGTTAGTAGAGGGGAATATGTTTCAAGGACAAAAGTGGTTGAAGGCAAAGCGATCTCTCTGACTTGTTTTCCGATGAGCTATCTGACGTGCCTTGTGGAGGAGTAGTGATTAGTGACTCACACAGGGGAAGTGACAGGGGTCAACAAAGAATTGTGGCCACAGATAATAAACGTGAAAGTTGCCTTGTGGCTTATAAATTGTGCCATTTTCAATTCACTTTTGGTTTACAAAAATCTAAACCCTGATTCGAAATTGAAATATAAAGCATTTCTGATGAATGTGGCATAGGCTTGGGCTACAGACCAGATGGTGGCGGCAGAACCAGAGTCAGACAGACGACTTAGTGCGACCTAGACCATCAAGTCCCGCCTCATGCAGATACCCCTGGGCGATTCTCGGGTGATATGCGGAAATATACCCTCGTGAAAATTGTGAAGAGTGAACATTCCAAGGGGAAGCATCCTTCTAGGCAATGCCGTGTTTGCGCAGTTCACAAAAAAAGGACTATGACTGTCTACATTTGCAAATGTGTAATGCCACTTCACAAAGGGGAATGTTTCCAGAAATATCACACTCTCAAGCACTTCTAGGAGCATTGGTAAACATTCTCCAAAAATTTTAGTTCATAAAATTAATTAGGAGATTTTATATTAATTTTTAAAGTGAACAGTGCACAAGTTAGGGTAGTAGGTATAAAAATGCTGGTCCCCAGGGTGATTTAAATATTTAAATCGCCGGTCCGCAAAGTGTTAAGATATAAGTTAATCCAAGCTGATGTGAAACTTTCCAAGAAAATCCAAATGCAGCAAGTCTTTGTTGGGGCCAATAAAGCCAGGAGAGCTGACTTCTCTGGCAACTGCAAGGTTTTTTACAGGACAATCCAATGATCTCCTGAAGAATATGGTTTAATGATAAGGCCCATATTCATTTTAATGGCTATATGAACAAGCAGAATACATGTGTGTACACCAATGAACACCCATGTAACATAATGGAGACAACAAGTGACGGTATTGTTTTGACTCCTTTTTCAGTGATACTGTGACTGCTGATCATGTGTCCTCCATGAAGAATGTCTTGTGTTTCACCAAAGAATGGGCGTCAATTTCAGAGAAACGTTTTTTCAACACGACAGGGCTTGGACCCACACTGCGAATGCAGTGCTGGATGTGTTCAATAATCTTTCTGATTACAGAGTTTTGTCTAATCATTTCTGTGAATCATTCAGATATGGGTGGCCCTAGCCACCACACTCTGCAGGTCTTAACCCATGGCAATTTCTTCTTATGGAGATCTCTGAAAGATACAGTTTACAAAAACAATGAACATGCGCTTGAAGAACTAGAACAAGAAATTTTGGTAGCAGTGATCAGTGTCAGTGAAGAATTTCCAGCTTCATCTGTGCAAAATTTGTGACACTGACTGAAGTCATGGATGCCAATGGTGCATGTCCTGAAAATGTGTTTATGTGACTGTCAATCTCCCAACACTAGTGAATCCACACACACCAAATACAAAGTCTTTTATTACATAATTAAGTAATTACTATATATAATTAAAACTTAAGCATCTTCAGAAAAGTAACCTGTATATACTTATCTTCAGTCAGTTAATGCAACATCTAATATCTGTGATTCCTCTAGTCCTTTGTGTCTACTTCTCCATGCCTTCTATCAATCATTCTCCTTCTCTGCTATAACATATTGTACCCACTACTGTTGGTTTTCTGGGCCAATATTAAGGAACAATATAAGCATCGTACACAAGCAAGACACTAATCATTTACTTACCTCCACATCCCGGCTTTTGGCAACTTCTGTGAAGTGTTCCTGGTGCTCAAGTGTCTTGTCCTCTTTGTCATCTGTCATGCAGAATACTCTCAGCCTTGCCTCCAAAACATCCACACGTTTTGCAAACACCACAAATCTGTTGATCAAAATAAACAATAACTGAAGGGGTCAAGCTATACACCAATCTGTACTATCTATAGCAATATTTCCTATCAGACATGTGCCACTTGTAAAGAGCATACAGTTACATCACTTTTAAAACTTACACCATACCATGCAGTTTGTTTCTTCTGCCCAGATACGACAACAGGCTGTGCTCCATCAATCTTGCTATTGTGCTCAATATGAGAACTTTTCAAACCTCAAGTCATCTAATACTGGTTTACATTTATTTTACTCTGCTTTGTGCAAGTAGCAATAATGGAATCCTTCTTCTTCTTTTTAATTCACTTAGTGGGGGTGGAGTCCAACTGGGTCCACTCGGCATGGAGGCCACTGACTGGCCTATTGTAGTCTGCCCCAGGTGATTATGATGGAGAATTTGGTGGAATGAAGACTGGCAGGGGAAACTGAAGTACTTGGAGAAAACCCACCCCAGTGCCACTTTATCCACTACAAATCCCACTTGACCAGACCCAGGATTGAACCCGGGCCACTGTGGTAGATCCTTCTAACTTACTTGGCCATGAAGGGTGGATGTGTAGCTTCCCTGTACAGCTCAGTAGCCATCTTGGTTGCTTCAGAAATATTGCGACAGTCCATTAGCCAGAAACGTGCAGAAACAGTCGTTGTGAATGTCACACAGTCTTTTACGAATGTGAGAGGAGTAGAACCTGTTACATCCTCCCACTGTGCCCGCGTAGTGCCACCTGAAGAAACAATGGGTGCATTTCAAATACTCAGAATTACTAGGTTTTTGGACTTTGTCCATCATCTGGTATTCTGAAAACTATAAAACACAATGTTTTGAAATCTAGATCTGGTTCTGTCCTCAGGTTAGGGAGGAGGCACACTTTTTTTCATTAGACAATTAAGTCTAAAATTCCATGTGTCTTACAGTCCAAATGCAATAAAACTTTTTTACCAAATTTTGCCCTCTAAAACCTAGGTGCACCGTATGGTCCAGAAAATGTTATATCTTGCAACCTATGAATCAGGACATTATCTCCAAATTCAAAGATTGCTTTATCCTTTAACATCCATGCAAAGAACAACATGTCAGCACATACATAAGTTCAGTAGGCTCTTGCAGTCCTAGCATTGCAACATTTACAAATAAATCCCATTACCATCAATTTTAAAACCAGCAATCAGCACTGCAGTAGAGATTTAAATTCAAATGATGAAGGTTGAGCAAATGGATGAGGAAACTAATAAGGTACAAAAGGGGCCAACAAGAAAATTTAGGAAGACTTTTGTTACCATGAATGTCACTGAAAGTATAAAATTAACACTAAAGAAGTTAATGACATGTGTGAGGGGTCAGGTAAGAAAGAACAGTGGCATGTACTGACTTCCAACAGTCAGAGTAGGAGCAACCAAAATTACTTGAACACTATCCAGCAAGCCTACCAACATGGTTCTCACGAAGTAAATCATGATAATATTGAAAAGGCATTACCATGTTAAGGGAAAAGCAGCTTAGGCAATGAGGAATTGGAAAAATTGGCAGGGTGTTCCTGAAAAAGGCAATGGAACTAGTGCAGATGACTTCATTATGAAGTTCAGCCTAACCAATGCTACTGCATTTAACCTATAGCAGATGAAAGGAATACACTGTTATATGTATTCACAGCTGGCCAAATATGACTACAATGTGCCACTAAAATCTGAATTTCCAAGGATACATCTCTTACTTATCTTTGGTCTAAAATGCTTCTTTAGGCCTCAGAAATCATCACAAATATTTCTGTATTTGAATTATTAACTTGTGAGGGATTACTTTGTTTGATTACCTCACTCCTGGGTGTTGTGAAGTCTTGATAACTTTACAGTTCTCTTCATGCAACCATTCTCAATTCGTATTCTTAAGAAGTGTGAATATGGGATACCAAAATCTGAAGACCTTCAGAGAACACCTCAGCTTATCTCATCGTCAATTTCATAAAATCTACAGCCCTTCAGCCTGTTATGTCATCAAAACTGGTATTTTTATGTATATGTATATGTTTGTGTATTCTGCTCTTCATCTTTGGATAACTATTCATTTGTATCACTGTCTTCAATTAGTCTTTGTGACATGTCTTACACTCAGAAGTAAATAAACTGTAACACATGGTCACTGAAAATATACCTGTGGTCTGCAGATAAATGTACAAACACAGATTTGGATACTAACAAGTTTGGTAAACAGAACAAAGCAAAATACAGTTTGAATACCCTTACTTGACTTACCAGTTATGCTGCAGAGCAATCTGAGTGTTGGGGCATCTCCTGAGTACTGGTTGATCATGCCTTTGTTGGCTGCTTGTGGCACAGGGATCGTTAGAGTAATTGGTTTGTGAAACTTGCGCCGTCGGGGCTCTACTGTCACAATAGGTGACACAGCAACTCGATTTCCCAGCAGTTTTGCTGCTAGTTCAGCTGATATTGGTTGTGCCTGTAATGAAACAATAATGTCAGGAACAACAAAATACTTCCTACATACAGCACAGTGAGCATACTTAAACCTCCACAGTATTTTCCATAGCAAGAAATAAAATGCCACACAATGTGATATAGTGACTGGCACTGCTTTATAGCTCTGAGGACCTCATTTCTTATATTGGCCACAAGGAAGTGAGCCTGAGGTTTACCGTTGTTCTCTTCAGCCCTCCTGGAACATGGTATGGTAGACTGGTATCAAAAGAGAATCCTTGGCTATCAGATTTCATGTCCTTCCATATTTATAATAATTGCATAATTTCTTTTTCATATAGTTTTTACATAGTTGCTTACTTATACTATGTGTTGCAAATGACGACTAACCTTCAACAATACAGGCATTTATGTTTTTCTGCACATTTGATGCAACATCACGACAATCTGTTTGAATAATTTTTTAAATGCATGCCTCAAAATTTGTTCCCCGTTATGTGTCAGGGTTATATATGCACATATTATCTAGCAACTCTTTAACCACCATGCCTAGGAGAAGCAGAGTGCAGTCCATTCCTACTACCAAGACATCCCATTCTGTAACTAAAACAATTTTTTTTAATTCTTCTGATCAGATTTATACAAGCAGTCACAATTTGTACATAATGTGCCATATTCTGACAAACACTTGGAAGATTTGTATGCTTTGTGGGAACTACCCACAGTGAAATGAGTGCTACTGAATCAGCACTCATCACAGCATCTCCAACGCCCATTGGTTAACATACCGCCTATTGGCAAAAGTATAAATATGCAGCCTCCAACATGCTGGCATCAGTCCATCAGTCACAACTAAGCCTGCATCAAGACAACAGCATGACAGCAAGTCTAGTAGCAGCAATCACCAGTACAAATCAGGCCGGCCAGCCAGCTGGCTTGTTATCACCAGGCTGCTTCAAGGATGAAAGCCATGCTGCTGCAAAGAAGAATGCTGGACTGTTGCAAAAAAGAATGCTAGGCTACTGCAAATAAGAACACCAGACTGCTGCAAAGAAGAACACTGGGCTGCTGTAAGGAAGAACAATGGGCTGCTGAAAAGAAAGATGCTGGGCTGTTGCAAAAGAAGAATGCCAGACTGCTGCAAATAAGAACATCAGACTGCTGCAAAGAAGAACACTGGGCTGCTGTAAGGAAGAACAATGGGCTGCTGAAAAGAAAGATGCTGGGCTGTTGCAAAAGAAGAATGCCAGACTGCTGCAAATAAGAACATCAGACTGCTGCAAAGAAGAACACTGGGCTGCTGTAAGGAAGAACAATGGGCTGCTGAAAAGAAAGATGCTGGGCTGTTGCAAAAGAAGAATGCCAGACTGCTGCAAATAAGAACATCAGACTGCTGCAAAGAAGAACACTGGGCTGCTGTAAGGAAGAACAATGGGCTGCTGAAAAGAAAGATGCTGGGCTGTTGCAAAAGAAGAATGCCAGACTGCTGCAAATAAGAACATCAGACTGCTGCAAAGAAGAACACTGGGCTGCTGTAAGGAAGAACAATGGGCTGCTGAAAAGAAAGATGCTGGGCTGTTGCAAAAGAAGAATGCCAGACTGCTGCAAATAAGAACATCAGACTGCTGCAAAGAAGAACACTGGGCTGCTGTAAGGAAGAACAATGGGCTGCTGAAAAGAAAGATGCTGGGCTGTTGCAAAAGAAGAATGCCAGACTGCTGCAAAGAAGAACGCTGGGCTGCTGCAAAGAAGAATACCAGACTGTTGCAAAGAATAATGCCAGGCTGCTACAAAGAGAACACCAGGCTGCTGCAAAGAAGGCTGTCTCTTTGAGCATCGACATCCCACAGTTTCTTTCAATCCTGATCAGTTGGTACACAAAGATGCACTTGGTAGTCAAAGTGTCTAAAATTCCCCAAAATAAAAGTCAGGTAATATAGATCCAATATCTTGGAGCTCAAACAATTTGAGTAATAATGTAATTACCAAAAATTATGTCAATATTTCCTCTGCTAAGTCCATAATGTGAGCTGCTGCTGCTCTCTCATTCTGGAACCAACAGCCTCCTCACTTCTCAATTTCCAAAGACAAATTAACTGCTGGTTGTTTGTAATATAAGACTATAACTTTCACAGTGACTGAATGAATTAAAATGTTCTTGGGCAATCAGTTGTGCCAATGCTGAGGTGAAACAACAAACGTTCTGGGGACCTCCCGTCTCCATCTGGGTCAATACTGCACCGACAAGGTCTTCTCTTCACAGATTCCATTAAAACTCTCAAATCTTGCTCCAACTGCCCCCCTTATAACATCTTGGCATGGACCGTCTACAAAACACCATTCATTGTTGTACTCCAATGTTCACTGGGAACATGTATGTTTGCGAAGGCATTACTCAGCAGCAGCTGCGTATATCCACTTATTAAGAATGTATGTTTGCGAAGCCATTACTCAGCAGCAGCTGCGTATATCCACTTATTAAGAATCTGCTGCCTAGCAGAAAATGTTGATACACACTACAATATCATTACTTTATCCTAATTAACAATGCACTACTCTTTTCATTCATCGTTCTGTATTCCCAGATATACTGTATAACGCTTATGCATTTTTCCAAGACCTACTACTTTAATAAACAAAAATTTTTGTTTTCTGTGAAACATGTACTTGTACTGCATACATGTTTTTACATGTCATAATTACAGCTTATGTAAGATTCATTTTTGGAAAACCAAATAATGATGAAAGTTGATAACTAGTACCTGTGTTTGTTAATGGAAATATGATGAACTGTAACCAAATTCCTATCTGAGTTTAGGGTTAGAATAAGTGTTTCCAGCAGCAGTAACACATGCATAACTATACCTGGATTCCAACACGGATCTTTTTGGTAAGAGCCGCCGGTGGGAAAACTGCCTGCACTTGAGGAACAACACTTGATGATACCATTCCTCCTTCAGGTCCAATTGCATGCACCTCTTGTCTTGTCCGTGACACAACAGCAAAATAGTGAGGAAAGTCCACTGTCAATATCCGTGTGATGCGGTTTGTGTGAAGGTCTTCCAGCTGACTCATTTCTGCACACAAATCATAACACTGTGCCTACCTTCATGCTAAAGTGTCTCCATTGAAGAACTGGTATAAATACTCAGCTGATCAAGGAATTAAAATTATTACGAAACCTGAAAGTTCTTCACCATCACTAAAATGCACGCACATGCACACGCAGAAATTTGTCCAACTGTAAATTTACATTGTTCTATTTTAGAAAATTCAAAGAAAACTGGCACCATTCTGCCTGTGTTCAAGTTTTCTTCAAACAAGATAGGCATAACTTTGCATATGGAAATTTTTAACCATATGTGAGAGAGTTCTACCAGCTGAATGCCTATGAAGAAAGAAACAAATGACCCTGTTTGACTGGTCAAAGAAATAACATGGTGCATAAGCTAGTGCTGTTACACAAACAATGTTATTGTGTTCAAACATGTAACTTTTAAAAGGCTTGCCAAATGTGTCATATAAAGAAATCTAAATATTTTCTTAAGCTGCATTATTTTCATTTCCCTCATTTTACACTCCCTTGGTTTTACATTTATTTTTGGTGGTCTTTTATAAAGAATTGTTACTCCTAGATAAATAGCCCACTGGCACCCAACAGATATGAGGCTGGGGATTTAAACAGAGTAGTGTTTGAGACAAAAATATAAACACTGAAGACAGCCAGCAATCAAACAGCTGATCACTTCAGTGACCAACCTATCAGGATTCTGAAGTATGAGATCAAGATATGACAACAGAAGTAAAGATGAACATTTTACCTTCTCCCTCAAAGCTTTCATTGAGGACATCCTGAACAGCTTCCTCACTGGCATCCAGTGTATGTTCCCTCCAAGTGTCACCATTGTCAGACCGCAGAATCACTATCTCCCGCTCTTTGCCTCGCAATGATGCAAAGTGTGGAACCTCAATTATAACAGGTCTGGCAATTAAATTAATGAAACACATATTAAGGACACATAAAATTCATTTGCAACTTTTTTTTTTTTCATATTCATTCCCACCAACTATGCTCACACAGTTTTGAGTCTGGCCTGTATTCTTCCTTTATACAGTGTACACTTTCAGGTTAAGTTCAAACCTAGCTAATAACAAAGCCCACCAGTGGACACAATGCTGATCACTTCAAATTTCACATGTTACTTCCTGAAGATGAATCTAACACTTATCTTCCCATCTCCTCCTCCCCTGTGTTCTCAGTGACAATTTTGTGAGATGTTTTCCAACCAAAATTCTGTATATATTTCTTGTCCCCTTCCATCTTAGCTACATGTCCAAGCCATAGTAATGACCTAGATTTTATTATCCCAACAATAATCTCTTCACATACAAGTTTGTTTGCATGCTAGCGTGCGTGCATGCACGGATGCACACAAACGCACACATACCCAAATACAAACATACACATTCTATTCACACTTCTAATCAAAGAAACAGAGGAAACAAGTTCCTGCAAAACAAGAGAACTTAAAAAACAGAAGGAAAGTCATAAATCCATTACACTTTCTTACTGTCACACCAACTTACCCAAGGAATTTCGCACCCACTGGGCCAAGCTCAAGGATTCTGCTGGCCAGTGCTTCTCCCTCCATAAGTGGTGGTGGGTTTGACAGCTTGTCTTTGCGAAGGTACCTGCAGGTGACTCTCATGGGCATAGCAGCCTTGCGAGGGGGGACAATCACACGCACCCCTGAATGCCTGCAGCCCCTCATTGCTCCTCCTCTTGCATCAACAAGGAAACTCACCAGGAAGCTGATGACACATGAAGCACTCGTGTCACATAAGATCTAGACTATTGAGTTCACACTTCTGCATAATATTTATAAAATAAAATTTTGCTTATCAATTATACCATCAGAAGTCACAATTACAGCCAAGAAAATTGGATTATTTGTATTCTGTATCGCACCCTATCAATCACAGTGGATGCACAGTTCAACTGTCCCATTCCTGCAAACTTACTGAGCTGATAAAGCTGATTTGAGCGGCCCATTCATGAACAGATCTGGGCAATGTCTAAGGGCTGGGCTGTTATAGTGTTATAGCGTATAATTCATACTTATACAGGGTGTCCCAGGAGGAATGTGCCAAACTTCGGGAGGGTGTTCCTTATGTTAAAGTATGCCGATATAACCCAAAACGCCTATGTCCAAAGTTGAACGGTTACGGAGATAATGGCCCAAGAAAAGTGTGGTCTTCTGGCAGGTCCAAGCACTGTACCTCGCTGTACCTCTCAGCTGAGAGCCCTTATCTATGTTTGTCCTTGAGTGCGATGATACTCCCTAGCCGTGCTTATGTAGTTGGCTCATACCAGAACGCGCAGTCAGCACGTTACGTCATCGCTCGCCAGTCATGTGTTATGTATACTGCTTGGAAACCTAAGGACAATTATGACATGGCGAGCGAGTATTTTGTACTTCAATTTTATGGCTTTCCGTCACTCACAAGTTGGTTTGATGTTACGTACATTATTAACATTACAGAATCCACATATTCCTGCCAGTTTTAATATGTATTTTGTAATCAACAAGTGTGTAACCCCGGTCAAAGTTTGACACTTCTCGGGCCATTATCTCCGTAACCGTTCAACTTTGGACATAGGTGTTTTGGGTTATATCGGCATACTTTAACATAAGGAACACCCTCCCGAAGTTTGGCACATTCCTCCTGGGACACCCTGTATTTAGATATGGTATTACAATGTAAAATATATGATTATGCATTTCTTAAGTACAATGGTCTTTATTGTGTTGTTGAATTTTTATGAAACATCCTGAAAAATCCTACAAAATCTTAACCCTGGGACTGTAGTGAAAATCACATTTTATATACATGATATCCTGTTTCAGACTCAGGACTATAGATGTCGCTGCCATGGATGAGAATGCCATAAATTGGTTTAAAAGTAATTCATTAACTGAAAAACAGGATGACACCTTCCTGTACCTTGATGAAATATTATACAACTACACCCTTGTTAAAGTTATTTCTTCCGTTAACAGGTTATGAATAATTATGATAAAAAATTTTAAACTCGTAGCAGAATATAAGAAAATATTAGGACTTCGATGATTAACTTATTATCCACTTCGATCTATCAAGTGATAATTCAGTGGAAAATTAGTTTCCTAAGCTGAAGATACCCAATCTTGAGCAATTCTCTTAATCTCAAAGTGAAATAACTGCCTTACACAACTTCATACAACTGCTGATATTGATGTACTGTTTATCATGTTACTTTTGCATAAAGTGTACAGAGTGAATGCACCCAGAACAAGTCATGTGAGATTGCCAATAGGTTCTCAAAACAAAAACACAATAATTCTCAGTTAAACTTGGAATAGGGAATCTACAATAATAGTTTCTGAGCAAAAATTAACATCAGTCCACACTGGCCCAATGTTAAAATATATTTGTAGCAGCAATAAATGAATGTCAAGACCAATGAGATGAGAAAATGTGCAATTTCAAATAATTTACAAATCTGTGTAGTGTAGAAAGCTCTAAATATATGTGTTTGTGAGTGTCGATAATTGGGTTTCATCACTGATTTTATTCAAAGTCTTGTCAAGTTTAAAGTTCACTCTTTGCTATTTCATTCAGATTGATCTTCAACAATGTCAGAGGGACAAATGGGGAAAAATATTTATATCTTCAATAAAAGAACATTTAGTCCAAAGAGGTAGGCAAAATTGCAAAGATAGCAAATTTCCTGTTGCCCTCTGTATCATTCTGGAATAACCCCAAGACTCTGTCTTAGAATCAATGTTTTCTGATTTTATAAATGGAAATATTAAATAAATAATGCCTAATTCTTCTACTTGAAAATTTCAATGAATATTTTAATTCAAAAAAAGGTGTTTCTATTTTGTGAGCCGAAGTAAATTTGTACAATCAGCCAGCTAACTGTGACGCAATTCAAAATACCAACAGTCACAGAAAAGCATAAAAATAAACACCTTCTGAACACATCTTGGGGGTAAAGGGCGGCCAGCACGTAGGCCTTACAACCTTGCCACCATCTATGAGCTGATTGTCTAGAAAATGTGGGAACCTCAACATCTCACAACCCTATGTGCCTCCACAGCCTGTTAACAGGGATACCTTACTTTTTACTTTTTACTTTTTACTTTATGATGAATATTATTAATCTGGAAATTTTTACAGTTCTATAAACATTATAACTACAACTAAGCTGCATACAATATTGTTCTTATGTATAACATACAAGAAAGATAAAAATATTTGTAGGTTCTAACACAAAGACAAACCATCATAATGACTATCCACATGCACAAAACTAATGAACACTGGCAGCTGTTAGTTAATAGCTACATAAGATACTAACATGGCACTATGGGTAAGCACCATAACCAAGCCCCTTAATGACTTTATCTACCTGCAACAAGAATATTTACATGACACAGTAGAAACCCCTCTGACATTTAACTTGTTAAGTGATCATAAATAATTTTCTTTTTAATAATTCATAATCAAGTGTCATACAAAAGACTAACTTGGTGTCATTTTTAAAACCTACCAAGTACACTCTCCACACAATACTGACTACAAAACTGCCCCTGTCTCACAGTCACATTCAAACTTCAGAAAATGTACGAGTAAGAACCATACAATTTGATCATGTAATACTTGAGCTGCCTTACTCCAGATAGCTAATTCACCTCATTAGCTTTCCCCTTATATAATTCATGATCAATATGGAAGATGTAATTTAAGTGGCTTCAATTTTTATAAAAAAAACAGACGCATAATTATAATACTCATTTAGTGAAAGACTATCAAGGCAATTCTACCTAACACAAAATGCTAACAGAATACAGGTAGAAAGGTTAGAGAATATCTGCAACTCTTATAAGAAGTGGGATGTTAGTTAAAGGATAAAAATTAAAATGTAACTGGAGTCAACTGCTTCACCTTCAAGAAACAAGAAAATATGCCTGACACAACTATGATAGTGTGGCATGCAGACCTGCTGCTAGGCAAGAGCCATGAAAGAAGTAGCTGTACAACAGCCCTTACTGAATAATGGCTTCACAAATAAACACATTTACACAGCAACAGAAGAACAGTGTTTTGTGTGAGGTCCAGCTGAGCTGAGCTTAGTTAGTTCACTGGTGAGTGACTGAGTCAGTCAGTCAGTGAGTTAGTAACATGCTGGGGATCAGCTGTTGTGATCTGCTGCTGTGAGAGGCTGGTAGCTCAGGCCAGGGATAGTTCGGACAACCAGAGGAAGGGGAACATCCATGGCTGGAAGCCGCTACCAAGCAACAGCAGTGAAGACTGTGACTGTGGACAATAGTGTGTGTTCGTGTGTCTGTATAATAAAGAACTGTAAAATGTAATTACACACTGAATAAAACAGTCCAATAAATCAGATCATCAATCTAAAACCTGTCTATGGTCACACCCTATCATCATATGGCAACTGGTACCATAAATGGGATTGGGTCAAACAGATTAACTGGATTGAACAGGACTGATACAATCGAACTGTAGCAAGATGGATGCCTGGCTAACAGAAAAGAAATGACTGGGGAAAAGAAATGAAGGTCGTGCATGAAAGCATGCAAGCCAAGATAGGAGGCACTAATGAGGTCATTCAAGGTACATTCGTCTCCACCAAGCCAGGGCAGAGGCCATTCCAAGAAAAAACGGATATCAACCTAAAGGAAATGAAAGCTGGCCAAGACACATCTCAAAGAAGAAATTAAGGACAGCAAAGAAAAAATGCAGAAATTCAAGCCAAGCCAAGCCAAGCCAAGTGGAAATGAAATCCACAGTAAGTGCCATCCAAAATGCAATCCATCAGGTTCTAGTTAGAGTAGATCATAAAACATGTGGTGGAAGATGACCAGTCATGTGTCAACCAAAACACGGTGGACCTCCGCAAGAAACTGAGCAACAAGACTGATGAAACACAGGTGGACTCAGAGACCACAAGGATATCCATCGATGCGTGAACAAAAAGCCTCCTGGAAACCATACCAGATACAAGGGAGAAACTTCCATGTGAGCTCCAGGTCAAGACACAGACAATGAAGGTCTTAACTGCGGCCATCTGACGCAAGTTCCAGATACAGTTAAAAGAAATCAAGGCCCAACCAAGGGTGAAGGAGGCACAGGAACCAGCTGTGGGGGCGGCAAAGCAGCCTAAGTTCAATGGGACTACATCATGGACCACGTTCAGCACCAGTTCAAAGCCATAGCAGAAGACAAATGCAGGACGTGCCAGGAGAAATCCACATACTTGATCACCGCCATCCAGGACTGGACCAACGATGTACTACATGGAGTCCTGAAAGCAGCACCCGAAGAAGAAACCCTTGAGGCCCAGGAGGACCGCTTTGGGGACCAGCACCTGCTTGCTGCATATCACACGGCCCTTCCATGGAGCAACCAAGGAAACTGATACCTCATGATCACTATGGGCTATTTCATCAAGTGGCCAGAAGCCTATTCAATTCCAAATCAAGAGGCTTCAACAGTGGCGGAAACACTAGTTACCAACTTCTTCTGCTGCTTCGGTGTACTGCAGCAGCTACACAGTGATCGTCTAATACGCATTTGGAAACGCCTTGGAGTGCGCAATATGCGCACGACACCCCCACACTCCCAGTCAGAAGGCATGGTCAAGCACTACATCAAAACGGTCACAATGCACCAGAGGAATTGGGATGCAAGATTACCCATCTTCCTCCATGCTTCTAGGGCATCCATTCACGACACTGTAAACTTGACCCTGGCTAGTCTCCTGTTTGGAAGAGAACTCAAGACTCCCTTGCGACATGCTGTTTGGGGCACACACCCCAACAAGGAACCACTCACACTCGATCACGTGGCAAATTTAGTGGACCACCTACATGACATTCACAATCATGCCCTCCAACACCTAAAGATGGCCAGTGAGTGGATGAACTCATTACAACAGACAGCACAACTGAGTAACAGCTTCACAAACAAGTATGTTTCCATTGCAACAATTGGATACAGCAACAGAGAAACACTGTTTCCTTGTGGTCCATGCCAAAATATTATAAGCAGGACAGTAAGTGAGAACCAGTCAGTCGAATTGAGCTGAGTCTGTTGGTTGGTGAGTGACTGAGCCAGTTAAATGCTGGGGCTCAGATACTGTAAGCCATTGGTGTAAGACGCTGGTAGCTGAAGCCAGGGATAGTGTGAGAACCCAAAGGAAGAGGAATGTCCACCACTGAAAGCCACTTCCAAGCACTGGCAGTGAAGACACAACTGTGGACACTAGTGTGCATGTGTAACCATGACCTGTAAAGTGTAGTCACACATTGTGTATGAAAGAGTGCAACAAATCCAGTCATCAGTCCAAAACCCAACTTCAGTCACTCCATCACATGACAATATCTATTCAGTTACCATAATATGTATTAGGGCTGTGCTCTCCATAAAGCAAATGCATAATGCAGATGCTCTTATATGTCCCTAAGACATACCAACTCGACATAATTCTCAGCAAATGGCTGACTGGCTGGATTCTCAGAGAGACACCTGCCCATGATATGCTCTATGCTATAGTATGCATATACTATTTACATATACATATACATATACATATACATGAAGCACCATCAACCCTCTGTGGTCCAATTTCTTTAACCCATGTGGTCACACAGCATAAAGCATTTTTTTAAATAATTATGGTGCCATCTTGTTTCTAATTAGTTGAAACACTGCCAAAATATGTCCAGATTGACACTAATATAGGACCACAATTGAAAATGTTAAGCAGGTCTGAGTGAGTGCAGTATATGTCCACAATGGAGAAGAGTAAATGGTGGCTAGGGTCTGGGATAAGACTGCAATGAAAATTACAAAACCACACTAATTCAAAGTCAGGGCCACAAAGGGTTAAATGTGGCATTAATCATTACAGCAGATACTTTTACTTGCACACTATTTATTTGGCAGATGGTTTGTATTTGTATAGAGGTTACTGGACATGTAATAGGGCATGTTGAGCAAGTGTATATGGGTAAGAGAATAAGTGATTACTTGCACGTGTATGTCCCATGAACACAGGGCAGAAAGAACAGGAGTTACAATAATAATAATAATAATAATAATAATAANAAACTATGGGTAACATCATTTAAACTTCTATCCTCAAGAGAGGTTACTGGATTATTTGTAACACTCACATTCATATGCTTCATGACCGTAATCTTTCACTACAACAGATCAGCAGAATTTTGTGTGAGGGGGTATCACATAAGAAATCTCTACTAGCCTACTTTTCTATACACTTTAACACAGACTAATAATCACTGTATTCATTTAACAGATACTAATGCAGCCATGTTCACATCAAACGTCAGAGTGTCAAAAGAATTCATGTGTTCCAAGAATTTTGATGTAATCTGTATTTAATGATTAGTTAAGTCAACAGCCTAGTCTTCTACATAATCTCTAGCACAAGTTTTATTTTCTAGTTAAAAACTTGGAATAACAGTAAAAAGACTGAACCTTGCCTAACCATGCTGAGGGCTCAAAAAGGTTTAGAAGGATAACACAGCCAAACAAACATAGCAACATCTTCTCAGCACACAGTCCTACTTACCACTACATATATACACATCACAATATATACATACACATACACACTGAGCTTCACTATGACAACTACAATGTAGCTACGACACAACACAGTTCAGGAATCAAAACACTTACTTTTTCCAATGAGGAATGCTGTGAGCGTGCCACCGAAAATATACATAAAAAATCAGAAACAGGAAAAAATGCAGTTAGTTTAAATAAAAACACATTACTGAAGCAATAAACCAAAAATAATGTTCCAATAAATATTTGTTAGTCTAATGAAACCTATTTTCCACACAATCTTTGGATAAATCACATATACTGTATAACAGTGAATGTAAAGGTCTACAATTTCTGCTGAACATACAGCAACAGAACATGTTTCCTACCATGAATTTCAGAAAGGAAAATACTGTATCATATAGAGCAATTACACTCACTGAATACCACATATTATTACAAAGAGTAAATATTACCCTAAAGTAAATATACCGCAACAAATCTCTTCCCAGTGTATTGAATTCTGACACAGGAAACATTCTACTAGTCATCATTTACGTAAGTTGGCAATCCTACAACAGAGGCTCAAAACTGTGGACCTCTGTACATGGGTGTTGCAGAGACACTGCAACATGTGCTTAACATGATCACTGTTACTGCATTTAATTATGTATTTTCATTCCTCTACATTTAAGGAAGAACCAAATATTGTATTTCATCTAATATTGCTACAATGCAATTATCAAGATGGCTGAGTAAGCTGGGACATTATAACATGGAAGAAAACAAACTCATACAGAAGTATCGTTGCAAAATTCAACAGGGTAAGATCTATGGATGGAATCGTTATCAAGGAAAAAGAAATGTGAACTGGACTGAAATGGTTTCATGAGTCTTTGCGATGAAAATTATGATTTTACCTTACTACACAGGGTGTCATTATCATCACCATAGACAAGCCAACTGCAATACCTAAAACCTTCTACTGTCACTCCCAACATATACTGNTAGTGTGTCATTATCATCACCATAGACAAGCAAACTGCAATACCTAAAACCTTCTACTGTCACTCCCAACATATACTGTATCCATAACTGCTGAAAGTGTACACTTAAGAACACATTCAAGCCTTTTAACAACTATATTACAGTAAAATATCTGAATTGATTACTTTTCCAACTAATGTTACAGTAATTAAAAAGATGTAATAACCTGGACATGCATCCTGGTGGAGGAAAACAAGAAATATTCGTTATCTCTTAACAAAAGAGTACAGGACACAGTTCATAAAGATAAGAGGTAGATGAAGCTGATTCAATACTATGTCCAATGACAGGTTTTATAGGGAATGAAAATTTGGGTTAGACTTCAAAAGAAACAGAATACAACAAATATTTTTGAACTTTAACTATTACAGTAACAAATATATTTATTTTTATTCTTTCTTCTTGTATTTGTAATTATAATTCTGATTCACAAGGCAGTGTTCAAGAAATGTGAATATTTTTCAACATATATGTATTTACAATGGAAGTACATAAGTAAATACAGCATAATGAACACTATCTTATATTAGTAGAAAATAGATCACTGGTTCAGTGAATAAGAGACAGATTCAAGGATGAAGATAAAGAACGGTACAGTGTTCAGGACCATTTGTGCTAATACAGTGTTTCCAATTCTACACTTCTGAATCACATCAAAATACTTCCAAAGCAGTGCTTCCTTTCATCTTTGGGAAGAATATTTCCAAAACACCTTCATAAAATTCTCACGATACTTCCAGACTACTATGATGATCCTATGGTAAATCCCTAACCAAATCTGACCAAAGCCTTAAACTCATCTGAACTTACACTTTAGGAATGTAAAGAATACTATATGATTCAGTCCATACAAATCTAGGTAATCAACCCCTAGTCAAATCTGTATACAGAACAAAGTCTTCATTTGAATAATATATGAAGCTATGAAAACATTAATAAATAAACTAAAAACTGAATATGAACAAGTTTACAGTCAATGCCCCACCATACATTCTAATTACACCATTATAAAATGTATCTTTATAAACCAATGTAGAAGAGTGGTTAACAATTTAATGCAGGTACAACATGCAGAACTAGGATATAACTGATTTCACTTCCTTCTTCCATAAATCCCACCAATTTTTATTTTCTTACAGTTTGCTTTTATTCTCAACATTAGAAATATGCACATCTTAAACTTTTTCTCTCGCCCACAGATGGAAATTACAAACAGCATACAACTCCAAAGTCACTGTATTGCGACGCATTGCCAGGCAACGGCTCAGTAAACACATTAACATATACGTGGTTACATCACGCAACAGTAGAGTAAAGGTGTCTTCTGTGTGGTCTGCACCACACAACAATAGAGGGGCCGTTTTTTCTGTGCATGGTCCATGCCAAGAGGATATAAGAGAATATGGGAATGGGAAATGACTTCACTTGAGTTCCGAAGTTCCAAGGGAAAAGCAGTGTGGCCAGAAGAAGAATCAGGAGGCTCAATGTGTGACATTACATGTGCTGTACTACATCGATATTGTGAGTGTGTAATTTAGTGACACTTTTATAGTTCTGTGTTATAAATCCATTGCCAGTAAAGATAGTGAAGACTACTGGAGGCAGACTGAGAAGATTAGTGTGGAGTGATTTTAAACTGTGTAAATCAGCAATAGTGTAATAATTACTTATAGTTACGACCTGAAGGTGGTTAATAAATCCAATTATTAATTTGAACCCCATCTTCAGTCACTAATACATTTAACAGTATGTACTGATATTACACAGTACTACTCTATTAGAGTACAAAATTAATTTAAGACTTGCAGTTCTGACCACAATTTTCACACTAAGCAAAACCTCCCCAAGCATATTCTCACTCCCTATTCTACAATTAACAAAAGAGGACCAATGGGAAGAAAATTCACCCTAAATAATATCACATACTGTCACAAAAATCCATTTGAACTTCACCTCAAAGTAATCTTTCCAACATGTTTGCAGTTTTTCTAACAGATTTAAACTGTCAGTCAATACACATTCCATTAGCGAGTTTGCCATTACCTACACTCATAGCTGACTGAGACAATCTGACAGATTCTGTCAAACCACCATAACCTAACATGGCCATTGCTTAAAGACACGATTTTTCTGTACTGTGTATACTGAAGAGATGTGTCACAACCATACAAAAAGAGTTAATTTTCAGCATGTTTTCTTTCTTGTACTGGGTACTCAGTTTAAAAAAATGCTTGGAAATCTTCATAGTCTGTCCCACTAGGTTAGGCAATTAGACAAGTGACAAAATCTTCATCAGTAAACATATAGAAATCTACCAACCACAGGTGTGAAATCCTCAGCTCTACACTACTGTTCTAACACTGCAGGAATATCACACAGTATATGTCATACACTGTGATTTTAAAAACATTACATTACATTCAATCAAACAAAATTCAAGAGCACTGTGTAAAATGTTATTTGATAGTAACCAACAGTTCACATTAGAAACAAATCATTCAAAAGATGTCAAACAGAATTTTGAAGAACTAGCACTAAAGTATGAAATTATTTATAATATTAAAACAGTTCACATGGGAAAGAGATCACTCAAATAACTGTTAGAAGAATTTTGAGGAAATAACATAAAACATAAGACCATTTGAAATAATATGAAAAATAATCTGTAAAATACCTTTCCCTCCACATTCCTGGGGCCTTAGAACCAGAGCCGAGCGAAGCCAAAGAATCATCGAGCCTGTTCAAAACAAAGCTGTGTACGATGTCGAAACAAGGGAGGAAAAAATAAAATTTTAAAAATTGATATAAACATGAGTACAAAATGTTATGAGTTAGGCAAAACATGCTGCTGATGCATCATGCCATTACTCTGACTGACAAACAACAAACAGTTACACAACTTTAAATCTGCAGTGCAGTTAACATGCCATTCAGAGCCATGCAAGCCAAATGCACTGCTCAAACAACCATCCTCAATATGTAACTCAGAATTGTGCTCTATCTGCTTACTAATGCCTTCACATTACCCACGACCTTTCACATGGGGAGAAACGCTATGGGGAGAGCATATACTTGTTTTCATATTTAAAATATATAATGTAGCACCTGCAACCACATTTATTATAAATATATAAAGTATGATACAGATACAGATGCAAGTATCAGCACTGAAACCAGAATTTAACTATGCAGGTACATAAATGTACCATCCTGTTACATTTGGCTATTTAAACATAATATTCAAGAAATAAATTGGCTCAGTGGGTAAAAAGAATGACATGTATTCCGTAAGCCTCCTGTTTGAACCCCAGCCAAGGACGAACCATCAAAACTCTTTAAGCTTTCCATAGTCCTCCTCAGTCCCTCCAGGCCACTATTTTCTACACCCATGTCCATCCAGATTCATCCTATAAAGTGGCACTAAATGCTACACACCTCAGCAGTTAATATTATTCCAATAGTTCTATTCACTTAAAATTCACTTGGACTGATACCATGAAGAAAAAAATACAGTGACTTTTAATCATATAGCTGGCAATAAGAGCAAACTGCAGTATATTATTGGTGGGAAATTTATAATTTCAACATCATGTAAAGCATAAATTTACAAAGTTTCTGAAACAGCTCATTATGTAACAGAATTATTAATCATATTAAAATCTGAAATTTCTTTTATCTGTATAGGTTACAGTAAAAACATTCTTCACTAACAGTTCTTACTAGCAAAAAGTAAAAACCTGCAATCACAACAGACAAATCTAAGTGTTCCCAAATAAGAACTAGAAATTACTACAGCTGTTATCAAAACCCTAACTCAAAGTTGGAACAACTAGTACTTACTGCTCTTTTCAGCAAACACAATTTCTTACCATATCTCCATTAGTTAAAATGGCATCTGATCAATTCTAAGCAGTTCTATCCCCTTCAAAACCAGGCACTTTGTAAGAATTTATTAAGTTAAAACTGTTCCTGACCACTGCTAAACAGTTACAACCAGTCATCACTGAGCAGCACTGTTAAGCACTTATTAAATGTAACTGACATAGCTGAAATTGATGGTATTCAGAATCAGTGCCTACAGTGCAAAGACTACTACTGATTCAGTACTGTTTAGTATTATCTGCATGTGGTTGTATTACATGTCAATAATGCAGTTCATTTATGTTTCACCATGTGGGCATGAGACTTCAGAGAGACATAAGTAGATATGTTGATACTATAATTGTCATGATAAATCTGCTGTTGTTGATGTATGAAATTATAAATTTTAAGAAGGCAAAGAAAAACTGAGTGTTGACTTCTAAGCCTATTTTGAACTCTACAGTCCCTACTAAGTACATCTGATCAACATATATAAACTCAAGCTGAGAGGGCAAATCAGTCTGTCCAGGTTTAACAGGGCCACCTCATTAAACTCACATAGTTTTATGCTCTGCAGATCATGCATGCAAAAGAGCTGCTTATCATCTGAACAGTAGATTTTGAACATTGAATAAGAAACAAGTGGCACACCTAAAGTGCCACATTAATGACTGGCACAAAAATAAGCTAACACAAGCTAAACTGAAATGTTTACTGTAGTTCACATTTCCTATTTGATACCTGTGCAATCTCCTTTACATTAAGGGCTGGAATACTGAGGAATTATGGCTCAATTCTCTGCAGGGCAAAAGATTTTTCTCTTCTCCAGAGCATTCAGACCAACTCTGGGGCCCATTCAGTCTCCAATATAACAGGTACTGGGGGCTGTTTCCCTAGTGGCATGGAGTTGATCACTTATCTTCATCTAGTGTCATCTAGTCTCCCATAAATCAACATGGTGTGTGGTGCTTAGTTAGTTACACCCAGGAATAGCTTTACCTTTTACCTTATGTTGAATCTGTTTAATATCGTTCACTTTTATATGACAATGATTTATGTTTCTTCTTTCAAGATGATTTTGGTACACAATCCTTTTTAATAATTCTGAGGGAAAATAAAAACAGAAAAATAATTATCTAACATACACCGAATTCTCAGCAGCATTCTTTGCAGTTCATTAACCTTACCTGCTGCTTATACCTGCTGCCTGTTTATAAACAGCATTTCAGCAAACACAAAACTACACAAAGAGCAAAATTTACATTTCAACAACATAAAATTTCAGCAAAACTTGTGAAATTGTTTATGGGATGCTGGAACAGTCCATTAATGATGTTATGTAAAGCAAGTTTTGTAGCTACTCAGCACATCTAAAAATCATAATAGCTAACTCACATTATGCAAAGACCTCTCACAATGAGCTTCAAGAGGATCTAAAGAACAATTTATGATACACATGAAAGTTTGTTTATACCCTTAAGAAAGGAGACTTTGTAGCCAGACAATATAGCTGAAAATCGAAATGTCCAAATATTACTGAAACGCAAAGATCTCTCATACTGAATTTAGCAAACAATTTTACACTCACAGATTACATACCCCAACTTCACTTCATCCTGACACTTCCCTAGCCTTTCCTCTGTAAGCAAAGAAAAACATTCCAGTGCTTATCTGCACTCTTTTACTCACATATTTCTTGTACTCTACAAGAATCTATACATTTGGTAACAGTTCCATCAGTTACCCATGGTGCACAGTACACAACAGGTGACCATTATCTGCCTCTGAAATTCCATGATGGATGGATAAAGTATCAAACATGCCATCTCTGTTTCTATCCTGTGGTATCTTTTAGTTATTTACATTGACTTATACATAACACCCCATCACCGTATATTCTGTTTTCCTATTTTTACGTTATTCACAAACTTTATCACTCCATGAACTCCATTTCTGAACACTCAAAAACAGTCCCCTTCTCTATCCAGACACCTCCCACGGTACATCCCCAAACAGTTAAGCATTAGTCACTATCATACATATTTCTATTAAAGTGGAAGAAAAGAAAATTATGCAACTGGAAGATAAATAAAAATAAACATATTTTTAAACAATTTGCCATAAAATAATATTTGCTAAGTTTCCAGCAAACCACCAAAACATACCGCACATACCACCAACAAATTTGGAAGCTACGCATTAACCATATGCATACAAAACTCAATGCATTCCTATACTTAGAGCCTCTCAGTCTCCAGTTTTGGGTTACCAAACTCTACCAAAGAACCCTGTGTACCTTGCAAAACATTAACATTTTATCTTCTACTTCTGCAATTCACTCAGGCATTTAAATCTTACAGTGGTTAAAATGTACAAACCATTCCAGTTTGTTAACACATAATTTTTCACTTCTGCGATGCATTTCTGTCGTCATGCATAGTAGAAATTAATTAGTGACATAGATGTGTCCTTGAATGATGGACATGAAACACCACAAGTCATTCATTATTACTATTATTGTTACAGTTCTTGTTTTTGTTGTTATCAAAGTCAAGCAGTAATAATTCCTAAGATGCATGTGAGACACAAAAGTTACTGAAAATTGTTGCAAATTTTACACTTAAATGGAGTAATGTGCAAACACACGTTTTTAATCTGAAAACATTTTAATGATAACGGAGTCTATATAATACTGCGGACAAACTGCACAGAACACACTGGAGGAATGAGTTGTGACAGGATCCCAGAAATAAATTTAAAATATTAACCCCAAAAGATGTTTCTGAAAGACATCTACAAAGACAAAACAATTGGCTTGTAATAATCATAATGGGAAAAGTAGACCTAATACTGGGAATTATAATGGCGGTGGGGTAGTGACAGGGGTTGGGGTAGGGGTGGTGGCAGCAGAAGTTATGACAGCAGTAATAGTGATAATGGCCACAGCTGTAGTGATGATGATAATGGCCATGCAATGACATTGACAATAGCAGGATCATTGATGGTGGTGGTGATGAAAAACTTGAGACTTGTCTTTAATGTGGTTTTGAGCTGAACATCAATTATGGACAAGTTCTAGCCCATCAGCCTTACTTACTGTGTGACAGACCAACTATATTTCAAATTTCTGCCATTAGATCAGGGAAGGGAAATTATTATTTACCTGAGAGCCACACAGATCTGTTCTGAAGTAACTGCTTGTAAGAGCCTAGCAAAAAAGTTAAAAGACTGGTACGCATCAATTATATATATATACAGAGTGTCCCAGACTTTGGGAGGGTGTTCCTTATGTTACAGTATGCTGATATAACCCAAAACACCTATGTCCAAAGTCGAACGGTTACAGAGATAATGGCCAGAGAAGGGTGAAACTTTGAAAGGTGTTACACACTTGTTGATTACCAAATATATATTAAAACTGGCAGGAATATGTGGTTTCTGTAAAGTTAATAATGTACATAACATCAAATTAACTTGTGAGTGACATGAAGCCATTAAATTGAACTACAAAAGAACTGGCACACCATGTCAAAGTTATCGTTAGGGTTCCAAGCACTATACATGACACATGAATGGCAAACACTGATGTAACATTGGTGACTGCGCATTCTGGTATGCGAGTGTATGGGGCTAGCGTGAGCCGTCATCACCACACTCAAGGACAAACGTCGATAAGACTTGTCAGCTGACAGGTAAAGTGTGTGGACCCGCCAGAAGACCATACTTTTCTCGAGCCATTATCTCCGTAACCATTCAACTTTGGACATAGGTGTTTTGGGTTATATCAGCATACTTCAACATAAGGAACACCCTCCGGA